GGAGGTGGTGGAAGAAGACTGGCTCATAAGCTCCCCCATCGCGAACCTCCTCTTTGTCCTTCTCCTCGCTCGTCGGGGCATCGCAGCCAACCATCTTTGCTCCATAGAGCTCTTTCCTCGGCGGGTCTCAGAACAATTTTCAATGACTGACAAATTCCAAGGAACAATCATGAACAAACATATTCCTTCTCTCTTATCCATCATCTTAATATATACTGGTAAAAACGCCCAAATATGCCCAAATCTTAGTTTAAGCTTCTTCTGGTTGAAGGTCAGTGACCACTCCTCAGCTGGAGGTGGTAGCCCAATCCAACCAATGCAGTTGCCTCTGTTACTGCCAGGGTACTTTGAGTGTTTGCGTTCCGGGATCCAGGATGACAACGGTTCTGTACCGATGACGTGCCATCGTTGAATCTGATTGATAGATCCTCGATTGAGCTTCCGCTTGCTCTCCACTGACTCCTGTACATTGGGGCCGGATTTGACTACTATTTGACTGTTTGCTTCAAGCCCCCTAAAACATGTGTGTTATAGACTTAATCCAGTTTGAGCTCAATGACACAAAGTTGGTCCTGGCTCAGGCAAAGGGTGATTTCGGTTGTGTCCAGGTAGTGGGCAATGGAGGCTTTGCCCGTCTCCTTGGCCTTGAAAGGAGAGAGCAGGGACTCAAGCACATTGCGGCCACCATCGTTCAGGAACACATAGTCACCGTCCAATGGCTTGTCGTAGTGATCATCACCGACCTTGGAGTTGGGGCTGCACCCCCGCCCTTTCAAAGCACCATGCACAAGCTTCTTGACAAGCGCAGGACTCAATGGCGGGAACCGCCTGTCTGGCCGCTTCAAGGATTCACCAAAAAGCTGCGCATCAAAGTGGATCATGATGCACCCTTTGCCCTGCGCACCCAGATGCTGTGCAACATGTGATTCTTTCACCACCTTGGCTACTCCTGCCATTGTGGCTGGCTCTGGGACCAGGCTCACATAGATCTGAACCTGCTCCGCGGCGGTAGCGACAAAATGCCTCACTGACAGATCAATGATCGATTCCGTAAACTTGACAATCAAAAGCATAACAGTGAGTTAGAAGAACATCTAAAGTTTGTGGTTTGAATCCAAGGTACTCACGAGATCCTTTTGGGTACTTGGATGGCTGTGGCGCCAAGCTTCCCTCGGCGATCTGGGCGCAAACATCTTCTTTGGCATTTTTGCCATCCTGTTGGTACAATGCCTTCTCCGCCGCCAGCTCGTTGTTCTTGGCAGCCAAGCAGGGCTGCCACCGGACATTGAACGTCTCAATGTCGAGAAGTTCGAGCGGGCTCACACCTTTGCCCTTCTTCAAGAGCACAACCAGCGATCCATTCAAAGTCACGCTGTAGAGAAGGTCCTGCAAACACAGCTAAAAAACAAATCAAGAACAAAAACTATAAATTAAGAACGACTAAGACTGAAAGAACACTCAAAACAAGAACAATGTCGTCCTCCATCAGCCGTAGCACCAGCAAGCTTGAGCCTTTCAAAGAAGACATCCACTGAACCTCTGCAAGGATAGAGCTGTCCGTTGTCTTGCTCGGATTCACATACTTCCTGTAGTTCTTCACTGTCATGATCTTCTCATAGATCATCTTCAGATCCTCCGTGTCGAACTGGTTCCTTGGCAGTTCCACCTGCAAGGGAATTGAAACAAATTAGAAACAGCATCATTCATGGATACACCGGCTTCAAGAACACACGAACCGAACCTGCAAAAAGTGCTGTACAGTGCTTCGCTTCAACTTCAGCAGTTCAACCAGCGATGCGCTGGTGCCACTCCCTTGCAAATATCCTTTGCTAATGGTATCCTTGTCCAGCTGCCCATTTTCGATCATGTCGCAGAGCACCTGCAGGACCCATTGCCTGAGCAAAGTCAAGTTGCGCAACTTATCACTCAATTATTTTATGTTTTGATATACACCATACACCAATGACGTCAACAATCAATGACCGCTGGCCTTGTCTCGAGGTTCTCGCTCTTCTCAATGACGACCCGAAGCTTGCTCAGCGAATTTAAAGGTGAACCCAGGCCAAACAATGCTTCTAAGCGATCAAGGACTTGATTGCAGTCTGGGTCGGACAACATTTTGTCATAGACATACAAGCAATCCTTGACAAATCCGTCGGCCATGTCACCCTGACGAGTAGATTTGGCCATCAGGTCTTTCTTTTCACCGAAAAGGTCCGTGATATCCTTGATGGATAGGGATTCTCCTGTTTCCTTCTCCTTCTTCACCTTGAAAGCACGGACCTCATGCGCAAGTTGTCGAGCTGACCGCTTGACACAGTCATAGGAGGCAATGACTTGCTGTCTTTTGCGAAAGGCTTCCCAAAACATCTGGTCGTCGTTGCCCACGATGGTAATCACGCAAGGAGCCGTCAAAAAGATTTTTCGCCAATCCTGGAGACAGTCATCGTCCACCTGAAAGGCATAGAAAAGAGATGAACGCAAGCCTTAATAGTTTAAAATTTGTATTATCGTTTCAAAAATGAAATCAACATCAGTCTTGAATGACTCGTTTTGCACCTGCCTTGTCCTCAATGCACTTGGCCAAAGCAAAGATGAGACTGTGCTGCATCTCTTCAGGACTGATTCCTCGCCACTTTCCACGCTTCCCCAAAAGGTCCACATCCGCAGCATCGGTGGCTACATGAAAGTTCTCCTGGAGGTGTCTCGGAGTTTTTCCATCAGGATAGGCGAACTGCCCCAGCTCCACGACGCGGGAATGGTCTAGGGGGACTGCAGGTGTGATAGATGCAAACGGGTCAATCCAAAGAAGGTTGATCCCGCAGCGGTATGTGCCCTCCTTGCGCAAGGCTATCTCGCATGCCTTGCTGTTGAAGGGTTCCTGGCCGAGTCATTATTAAAATAAGCGTGGTAAATCAATCACAATCAATCACAGCATTTCTTTTGCTTGAATCAACGACTTGTCAAATAACCCCAGCCTGCACCCCTGAAGTCTTAGCTCCATCAACAATGGGTAGCGCCTCTGCAGTTTGGATGTCACAGAAGTTGTGGTTGGCTAGGATGACATTCATGCTGTCCATAAGCTTCTCGTAGTAGCTGGTGTTGGCCTCCGGTGGCAGGCTGTCCTTGTCAATGTAGGTCCCAGCAGTAGTGGCAACAGTGGTAACTGTTCCAGATTTCTTGGCGGCCGCTCGGGCCATTTTCTGCTCCTTCATGGCCTTGTCAGTGAAGAACTCCAAAAACAGTCGGTCGAAATCTTTTGAATTGAGTTGAAAGAACATAATGTGTCTTTTTGTGCACATGACAGTTTTTTGGTTTTGTCCTGCACGCCTTGGTCTTGGCCAGTTTGGCCTCGCGCGCAGCTTTCTGGGCATCCTCAACGGTGTTCCCCATAGCAATGCTGCCATCGTAAACCGTCTTCTCGTGTTCCTCTACTTCTTTCTCC